CTTTTCCTCTTTTTTTTTTTTTTTTTTAAATATATTTTTATTGATTTCAGAGAGAGGAAAGGAGAGGGAGAGAGATATAGAAACATCAATGATGAGAGAGTCGTCACCGATCAGCTGCCTCCTGCACGTCCCCAACTGGGAATTTAGCCCACAACTGGGGTATGTGCCCTGACCAGGAATCGAACTGAGATCTCCTGGATCCTAGGTCGATGTTCAACCGCTGAGCAATGCCCGGCCAGGCAACTTTTCCTCTTAATTATTATTTAAAATTATAGAACTAATAGCTGATTAGTTTAGGGAAATAGAAGATTAAAAAAAAATAACATCATTCAACTTTCTCACAATTAGAGATAATCACTGTTAACATTCTGCTATCTTACAAACTTTTTTTCTATGAAGCTACATCTAAATGCATATATTTTGTGGATATAAACATTGTATTTTTTACAAAAATAGGGCCATACTATATACATAATTGGCCTATAACCTTCTTTCTAACACTATTTTATGAACAATCTTCTATGTCAAAAATATAAATCCTTGTCATGAATTTAAACTGCGTAGTATTATATAGTAGTAACCTGATATATTTAACCAGTCCTTTGCCTTTGGACTCTTAGAGGTTCCCCCCTCCAGTTTTTACCTACGATAAACAATACTTCAATCAGAATATTCTTGTTCATATATGTTTACACACTGGTCCAATTGTTTCTTTTATATATACATACATATATATATATATATATATATATATATATAAGTTTTAATTGATTTCAGAGAAAGGAAGGGAGAGGGAGAGAGAGAGAAATATAAATGATGAGAGTCATGGATCGGCTGCCTCCTGCACGCCCCCTACTGGGGATCGAGCCTGCAACCCTGGCATGTGCCCTGACGGGGAATCGAACCTCCATCTCCTGAATCATAAGTCAGTGCTCAACCACTGAGCCACGCTAGTTGGGCTCCAATTGTTTCTTAGAAGTAGAATTGCAAAAGGGTATATACTTAAAAAACACCTTTTTATTGTGAGGAGGGTGAAGAGTGGATCTGGATGGGCAACAGAATGTATTCAGCAGCAGAAGACGAGTTTAGTTTTTGAATATTAAAGACATGATGAGTTAAATAATATCTTATTGGTGGGTTAAAGGGCGTGTTCTGAATCACTCTCTTATTCATTCCACTCCTTTCTCCTTCGCTTTCATCCACTGCCTGATTGCTTAACCTTACTCTTTATTCTACCATTGAAACCCTGCCGCATTACTTCAGCTTTAAACACCTTCTAGTTCACAAGTTTGGCTTTTTTCCTGATCTCATTTTATTCTTTCATCCGTACGCCCATCTACTAACTAGCATGGTAATGTTCTTCATCTGACCTCCTCTCGGGCACCTTTCTTTCGTTGCATCGGCCTTCTGGGGAGTCTTTCCTCCCCCAGCATCTTATCTATTCTGGCTTCTTGGTGAAGACTGGAAAGAGGTGTTTCAAGGTACTGAGGTAATGCAGGTAAAAGATGGTATGAGGGTGGGGGCAATGGCTATGGGGGAAGGCTCACTTTGGTGGATTCCTGTCTATGCTTATTATGGTGTGCTTTCTTTTTTTAATTAAAGTTTTACTTTTCAACTACAGTTTACATTCAATATTATTTTGTATTAGTTTCAGGTGTACAGCATAGTGGTTAGACAGTCATACTTTACAAAGTGTTCCCCCCGATGTTTCCAGCACCCACCTGACACCATGTGTAGTTACTGCAATATTGCTGACTATGTTTCCCATGCTGTACTTGACATCTGCGACTATTTTGTAATTATCAATTTGTACTTCTTAATCCCTTCACTTTTTTTACCTATTCTCCCAAACCCCCTCCCTTCAGTCAACCATCACTCTGTTCTCTATCTATGAGTCTATTTCTATTTTGTTTGCTCATTTATTTTGTTCTTTAGATGCCACATATAAGTGACATCATATACTGTTTGTCTTTCTCTACTATGGCGTACTTTTTGAAGCTACTACCCAGTGGTAAAATGAACTCATGGCCTTTCCGTATATTCATTGTTTCCAGCATATCCTCCCATTCTGTCTAATGTGTTTCAACACAAAAGTCCTAGCATTTAAGCCCAATGATAATTTCTCCCTTGAAACTCTTTGTCTTCCATCCATTTTTTTTCCTTTTTTCTGAATTTACCTCCTTTTCTCCCTGCTCCTCAGTTTCTTTGACTATTTTAGTAGACAATCCCTCGCTTCCCATTTTCCTCTCAATCATGTGTTGCTCTCCTTTGCCTGATCATCTTATTCTATATTTTTTCTGCGAAAGTTTTTTTTCTTATGGCCTCAACTATCACTCATGTGGATGACTCCTAAATCTGAACTCTCTTTGGGATTCCAATCCAGAGCTCCAGACTCAGAAGTGATTGGTGGGGTCAGAACACAGGTACTAAAATGTGCTTTCAGGTTTCTTTTTAGCCCTTTTTCCTTCCCTTGTCTTTTTAAAGTCTTCCTTGAACTGTTCCTCTGTCCATTTTGGTTCAGTTTTCATCTCTCCCCAGCTTCCTTTCAGCCTGATTAAAATAAGCAAACAAACAAACTTAACTAACTCCAAGTTGCCCCCTAGAGATGTCATTTTATACGAAAAGCTCTCCCTCTCTGTCCCTCTTCACAAAATTTCCTTTTCAGAGAATTTAAAGGAAACACTTAGAAAGGAAAAGAAGATCATTATTTTATTTTTCTTTAAAGTAGTTAACATGCCAAATACCAAATATTTCCATTTTAAATGTAAGCCAATTTGAAAAGCTGTATGTCTTTGTATGGGGGCAGGAGGTGGTGGGTTGGTGGTGGTGGAGTGATGAGGAGACTGTTGAGAAACCTCAGGTCTTCAACCTGAGACCTTAAAAGAGCAAACACTGAGCTCTGAGAGGAGCTGGACTAATTCACCCCTTTCTTCCCCAAATCATACTCAATTTCCTTGGGTATTTATCCTGAGAATGGTGTAAGGGAATGAAAAGGACAGCATTCAATCAAGAACTAAGAAAAACTAGACTTTCAAGACAAAATTTCAAAATCATTCTTATCTTGCTCTTTTTTATCCCACATTGACTGACCTTTATTTTTATTTTATCAAAATCCTTAATAAAATTTTTTTTTAACCCTCATCTGAGTACAGGCTTAGAGAGTAGAAGGGAGACACATACACACACACCCCAGGTGAGAGAGAAACATCCACCCATCCACTGCCCTCCAGGGATGGAATTCCCAACCCAGGTATGTGCTCTGATGGAATCCTACCCACAACCTTTCAGGGCACAGGACCACATGCTATCAACTGAGCCGCTCCAGCCAGGCAAAAATGTGCTTTTAAAAGTCAGTGAAGCCTGGCTGGAGCGGCTCAGTTGTTTGAGCATTGTCCTGTGCACCGAAAAGTTGGCGCTGAAAGCTTGCTGGTTTGATTCCTGGTCTGGGCCCATACCTGGGTTGTGGGTTCGATTTCTGGTTGGGGCATTACAGAAGGCGATCGATGTGCTTTCTCTCTCTCTCTCTCTCTCTCTCTCTCTCTCTCTCTCTCTCTCTCTCTCT